CGGACACAACATCTTTGTTTGTATGTGGTGCTGAGGATCGAACCCGGGCCGCACGTATGCCAGGCGAGCGCGCTACCGCTTGAGCCACATCCCCAGCCCCCCGAAATGTACTTTTTTAAAGATGAACATTTTAAGACATAATCATAGAGCCTACATATAATACAAATTTAATTATGTGTAGGTTTTTATCTATTTTTTAGTATAATTTTACTTTCAAATTTTGTTGTTGTTCCTTCAGTTAGATTGCTATCCTACACATTCTTTTTTTTTTTTTCCTTCTCTGGTAGTAGCAGTTAAATCCAGGATGTTTTACCACTGAGTCACATCCTGAGCCCTTTTTATTTTTTGATTTTGAGGGAAGGTCTCTTTTTTATTTTTTAAAAAATAAATAAAAATGTCTTGCTAAGTTATTCAGGCTGATCTTGAACTTGTGATCCTGCTATCTTATCCTCCCAAGTAGCTGGGATTACATGTTTATACGATAGCACCTGGCTTCAAATTATCATTCTATTGCAGTTGGACACATTATCAGATTGTAGATCTGTTTTTGTTTGTTTGAATAGTTGAGTTTTATAAATATCAATAGAATAATTTTTATTTTAGTTTTTATTCCCTTGTATCATCCCTTTCTTTCTCTTCCTTTTGTCCACCTTCCCTGTTCTGCTTGTTTTACCTCAGTAGGTAATTAATGGTAGCAGTATAAGATAATAACACAGGGCTGGGGATGTGGCTCAAGCGGTAGCGCGCTCGCCTGGCATGCGTGCGGCCCGGGTTCGATCCTCAGCACCACATACAAACAAAGATGTTGTGTCTGCCGAAAACTAAAAAATAAACACTAAAAATCTCTCTCTCTCTCTCTCTCTCTCTCTCTCTCTCTCTCTCTCTCTCACTCACTCTTTCTTTGAAAAAAAAAAAAAAGATAATAACAGCCTGTCAATTGAGCATGCTACAGGGACACTGCTACATCGATATTCATAGCAGCTCAATTCACAATAGCAAGACTTTGGAACCAACCCAGATGCCCTTCAATAGACGAATGGATTAAAAAAATGTGGCATTTATACACAATGGAGTATTACTCTGCATTAAAAAATGACAAAATCATAGAATTTGCAGGGAAATGGATGGCACTAGAGCAGATTATGCTAAGTGAAGCTAGCCAATCCCTAAAAAGCAAATGCCAAATGTCTCCTTTGATATAAGGAGAGTAACTAAGAACAGAGTAGGGACGAAGAGCATGAGAAGAAGATTAACATTAAACAGAGATGAGAGGTGGGAGGGAAAGGGAGAGAAAAGGGAAATTGCATGGAAATGGAAGGAGACCCTCAGGGTTATACAAAAGAACATACAAGAGGAAATGAGGGGAAAGGGAAAAATAATACAAGGGGGAGAAATGAAGGTCAATAGAGGGGGCAGAGAGAGAAGAGGGGTGGGGAGGGGAGGGGAGGGGAGGGGGGATAGTAGAGGATAGGAAAGGTAGCAGAACATGACAGTCACTAGTATGGCAATATGTAAATCAATGGATGTGTAATTGATGTGATTCTGCAATCTGTATATGGGCTAAAAATGGGAGTTCATAACCCACTTGAAGCAAAGTGTGAAAGATGATATATCAAGAACTATGTAATGTTTTGAACAACCAACAATAAAAAAAAAAAAGAAAAAAGAAAAAAAAAACAAACAAAGTACATGTATGAAGACTTGAATTGGGTGTCAACATACTTTATATACAGAGAGAGAGATGAAAATTGTGGTATATATGTTATTAAGAATTGTAATGCAAAAAAACCAAAGTACATGTATAAAGGCATAAATTGGCATGAACATACTTTATATACAGAGATATGAAAAATTGTGCTCTATATGTGTAATAAGAATTGTAATGCATTCCACTGCTGTCATGTATTTAAAAAAATAAAATCAATAAAAGATAAAAAAAAAAAAAAAAAAAAAAACCAGCCTGTCAACATTTCCCAAAGATCTGAGGATAAATTTGACTAAGTGTCTTGGAGTTTTCATACTAGAGTTTAATGTCACTGGTAGTCTTTCACATAAGACTAATTTTTATTTATTTTTGGTACTGAAATTGAACCCAGGGGTGCTTAACCATTAAGCCACATCCCCAGTCTTTTTTTTTTAATATGTTTATTTTATTTATTTATATGTGGTACTGGGGATTGAACCCTGGGCCTCACATATGCCAAGTGAGCACTCTACCGCTAGCCACAACCCTACCCCCATAGCCTTTTTTTATATATTATTTTATTTTTGGTACCAGGGATTGAACTCAGGAGCACTCAACCACTAAGCCATATCCCCAGCCTTGTTTTGTATTTTATTTAGAGACAGGGTCTCACTGAGTTGCTTAGCACCTTGCTTTTGCTGAGGCTGGCTTTAACTGTGATCCTCCTGTCTCAGCCTCCCAAGCTGGTGTGTGCACTAGGCCCGACTGTATTATTTTATTCTTTTGAGACCGGATCTTGCTAAGTTGCTTAGGGCTTCACCAAGTTTCTGTGGCTCGCTTTGAACTTGTTATCCCAGCCTCCCAAGTTGCTAGGATTATAGGTGTGCTCCACTGTGCCCAGCTAAGACTGATTTTTAAAGAATTGAGATGTATTGTTTATCAAAAGTTGTTAGTGTAATTTTGACTTTTATTCAAAAAGAATCTGTCTTTGCAGAGTTCATTGCCAAATTTTAAACAGAACGAGTTTTCTGTTGTTCGACAACATGAAGAATTTATCTGGCTTCATGATTCCTTCGTTGAAAATGAAGACTATGCAGGATATATTGTAAGTATTGAGGTTTTATTTAAATCCCATTTTTAAGAGCATTTTGTATACTCTTCTCTATTGCAGTCTTTTAGCATTTTTAGTAAATGATAAGATTTTTTATTATTTTATTTTATTTATTTGGGGGACAGGGATACTGGTGATGAACCCTGGGGCACTGAGCTCTATTTCCAGCCCTTTTTATTTTTCTTTTATTTTGAGACAGGTTCTCACTAAGTTGTCCAAATTGACTCTGAACTTGGCATCCTCCTGCCTTAGCTTCCTGAGTTGCTGGCATTACATTCATGTGCCCCTGTGCCTAGCACTGATGTGATTTTTAAAAATTTCCCAGTTTTGTTACAAAACTGGGTTACCATCTTTTATCTTGAGTTGTCCTGTTTGGATCTGTGGGAATATGTTATGCTTCCTCATTTAAACTTAGATTCTTTCTGTTAGAAATGAAATGAGTTTGTCCTAGAAATTAATTAAGGGATTTTATAAATCATACTGGCTTTGAACCCTTAAGTGGATAGGTATTTACTTTTGGAAGCCTCCTTAAGGTGTTATCATCAATAATCAATGGTTATTATGCCTCAGCTTTTGACCACACTTAGATTTGTGAAATTTAATTTGATTAGATTTTTTCTAAAATCATTGTGACCCGATTCCATCTCTGTTCTTGGAACCACCACTCATTTTCAGTCATTTGTTCCTTTTAATACCTTAGATTTTGGTGAATGACCAGTATACATTTTTCTTTTCTCATTCTAGTTCTACCTTTTACCCCTACCTTCTTGTGTGATGGTACGTTTTTCTTTTTTTCTTCCATAGGCTCTTCAAAGACTAAGACTTATTTATTTATCTTTATATACCTGTTGCACAGCATTATGCCTAGTATGTATATACTAGATGCTTGGAGAATGTGTGTTGAACTGTACTTGATAACTTTCTGACCCTAGGTGTAATCTTTTATTTTTTTGGTTACCAGAGATTGAACTCGGGGCACTCAACCACTGAGCCACATCCGTAGCCCTATTTTTTATTTTATTAGAGACAGGGTTTCACTGAGTTGCTTAGCGCCTCACTAAATTGCTGAGGTTGGCTTTGAACTTGTGGTCATCCTGCTTCCACCTCCCAAGCAGCTGCGATTACAGGCGTGTGCCACCACGCCCAGCCAAGGTGTAATCTTTTTCATGTAGGTCTTTGTTTTGTTTTTTTAGCAGTGCTGGGGAGCAAACCCAGGGCCTCATGCATGCTAGTCAAATGTTCTGCCACTGAGCTATATCCCCAGCCTTTATAGCAGTTCTCAATTTAACTTTTCTTCCTTTTGTTCCACTTCCTTTCTTTAGCTTTTCATCATTGTGCCCTTAATTGTTATTTGTCGGCCATTCCTCTTAAGATAATTTTTTTTATATCTTTACCTTGAGTGGTATATCTCTTCTAGACCTTACATGTTTTTAAAGGTTTTTACATTACATGTTTTACCTTATTCATCTGCTTCACCTATGGATAAATAGAATGAGTTTAGTCATTAATTTATCTTATTAATTTTTTTCTTTTTTTTGTTATTTTTAGTTTGTTAGCTTTTTAAAAGAATCTTTTTGCTTCTGGTAAATTCCTCTAATCCAGAATCCTTTTAAACATTTCCTGCTGGATAATATTTTTAGTATTTGTTAATTTAGAAAATACATGTAGTATAAAACTACTACGAACCCATTAATTAAAAAACTTAATTGAGGGCTGGGGTTTTGGCTCAGCAGTAGAGTGCTCCCCTAGCATGTGTGAGGCCCTGGGTTCGATCCTCAGCACCACATAAAAAATAAATAAATAGGGCTGGGATTGTGGCTCAGTGGCAGAGCGCTTGTCCCGTATGTGTGAGGCACTGGGTTAAATTCTCAGCACCGCGTATCAATAAATAAAATAAAGGTCCATAGACAATTAAAAAAAATATATATATATATATATATATATATATATATATAATAAATAAATAAATAAAATATATATATAAATAAGTAAAATAAAGATATTGTCCAACTACAACTAAAAAATAAATATTAAAAAAAAAAGAGGCTGGGGATGTGGCTCAAGCGGTGGCGCGCTCACCTGACATGCGTGCGGCCTGGGTTCAATCCTCAGCACTACATACAAACAAAGATGTTGTGTCCACCAAAAACTAGAAAATAAATATTAAAAAAAAATTCTCTCTCTCTAAAAAAAAAAAAAAGAAACTTAATTGAGGGGCTGGGGTTGTGGCTCAGTGGTAGAGTGCTCACCTAGCCGTGTGTGAGGCACTGGCTTCTATCCTCAGCACCACATAAAGATAAATAAATAAAGGTATTGTGTCCATCTACAAAACTTAATTGAAATGCTGGGAATTGATATTGGCCAAGTTATATTGTTATATTGTAAATTGTGTGCATGTATGAATATGTAACAACCAATCCCATCAATAAGTACAATTATAATGGACCATTTTTTTTAAATTAAATTTTTTTTATTTATATGTGACAGCAGAATGCATTGCAATTCATATTACACATATAGAGCACAATTTTTCATCTCTGGTTGTATACAAAGTATACTCACACCAATTTATGTCTTCATACATGTACTTTGGATAATAATGTCCATCACATTCCACCATCATTTCTAACCCCATGCCCACTCCCTTCCCCTCCCACTCCTTTGCCCTATCTAGAGTTTGTCTATTCCTCCCATGCTCTGCCTCCCTACCCCACTATGACTCAGCCTCCTTATATCAGAGAAAACATTTGGCATTGTTTTTTTGGGATTGGCTAACTTCACTTAGCACTGTCTTCTCTAACTCCATCTATTTACCTACATATGCCATGATTTTATTTTCTTGCTGAGTAATATTCCATTGTGTATATATGTCACATTTTTTCTTTATCCATTCATCTGTTGAAGGGCATCTAGGTTGGTTCCACAGTTTAGCTATTGTGAATTGTGCTGCTATAAACACTGATGTGCCTGTGTCCCTGTAGTATGCTGTTTTTAAGTCCTTTGGGTATAGACTGAGGACAGGGATAGCTGGGTCAAATAGTGGTTCCATTCCCAATTTTCCAAGAAATCTCCATACTTCTTTCCATATTGGCTGCACCAATTTGCAGTCCCACCAGCAGTGTATGATTGTAACTTTTTCCCCACATCCTTGCCAACACTTATTGTTGTTTGTATTCATTTTAATGGACCAATTTTTTAAAAGTGGGAAAAAACCAACAAAAAATAAAAATCATATTTGTATTTAATCATGCCTTTACAAAAATGGCATATATATTTACTGTATACATTTATTCAGTCTGTAGTCAGAGCTTAGAGCACATAGGAATTTGAGGATTCTGGGTTGCTGTGTAGGAGTCTGCAGATGGAAGTTTGAGAACAATTGTAAAACCAGAAAGTAGTGTTATGCTATGTTTTTGTTATGTTTTTGGTGTAAAGGACTTCAAGGATCTTAATTTCTAAAATTAGTGAAGCTCTGGAAGCACAGCATGGTGGTACAGACCTGTAATCCTAGCTACTCGGGAGCTGAGGCAGAGAGATTACAAATTAGAGGCCAGCAACAACCTGTCCCAATAAAAATAAGAAAGATTAGGGATGTAGCTTAGTGCTTTGCCTAGCAAGTGTGAGACTCTGGGCTCAATTCCAGTACTACAAAAACAAACAAAATCCCTGAAAACTAATGAAGTTCTCCAATCTGAATGTGATAGTTTACAGTGTTCAGTTCATTCAGGATACCTTTAAGTTTCCCAGACACCGTCTTATGGTGGCAGTGGTACAGTGTGGAAAGAAATGATAGTCCCTTAAAGTAAGTGATTTACTTTTATTATAGATTCCACCAGCACCACCAAGACCTGATTTTGATGCTTCAAGGGAAAAACTACAGAAGCTTGGAGAAGGAGAAGGGTCAATGACAAAGGAAGAATTCACAAAGATGAAACAGGAACTGGAAGCGTATGTGATGTTTTCTGTTGTTGTTTTGTTAGTTGTGTTTGTTAATGCCTTTTTTTGTGCTGATAGTCCATTCTTTTAATCATTTACCATTGTGACTCTGAAAGATGCAAGTTTAAGTCACACAACTAGTGTTAATGATCATGATCAGAGCCTACGGGAAAATTATAGAATCATTGTCTCCCTTGTAAAATTACTGTTTTAAATAAACTCTGGAAATTATAAACAGAGGATCCAAAAGCTTGTAAACAATAGTAGAAAGGGAACATGATGTTTTAAAGCAGAATGTATATCTTTTTTCACAAGGCCATAGTCATTTCCAATCTGGTTCTCTTTTTTTCAACTTGTGTATAATACTAAAACTTCTGTTTCTCATAGAAAGTGTTGAGCACTTTCTTCTTCTTCTTCTTCTTTTTTTTTTTGACATGTAATAGTTTTCTTCTCCTTTTCTCTGCCTTTGACTTCTGACCAAAAGGAAAAGAATAGAAGCAAAGGAACCAGAGAATAGTTTAGAATTGTTTTTCATTAACTATTGGTTCTATATACACTATTAATGTGTTAAGTCCTTGGAAAATTGTGATAGTTTAAATTTCATTTTTAGCTTATTTGCTAAAAATACAGTTTTTCCCCTTTTATTGAACATTTATGCTTTGGAGTTTCTAAATTATTTCTATTTTGAGAGTTGTACAAGGAAATAATTGTCCTTGCTTTATTGTCACTTCCATATCTTTTTTTTATGGTCATTTCTCTTCTTGCATTTCTTTTTCTTCTCTTCCACTGAGTTTCAGTTTTCAAGCATATATTTATAGAGCTACTAGACTCCTCTTCAGAATAGCTACATAAACTCTTTTGAAAAGAAAAATTATCCAAATAGATCTTCTTTGTCAAAGTATAAAGTGACAGATATTTTAATTATTCTGTCAGTATGGGTGCAAGCAATAATCTGATAGCAAACATTTTTAAAGTTTATAAGATTGAAAACTGAAAATTAGGAAAGCATAATAATATTGGAGAATCTGTGATTTTCCAGTGGCCCTGATCATGATTCTTTTGTGGTCTGGTTAGGGGTTGGATAACAGAACCTTGGGTTTATTCTACTGCTACCTCCATCCTCTGCATCCTTCTTTTTTGTCTTCACTGAATGACTACCCTCACAGAGATCAAACTTCTCCCAACATTGATCCTGCTGGTTTGCTGGTATGTAAAACTTATCCTTCTTGCACGTAGTTGAAGCAAGAATATTGGGCTTTTTGAGTGTTTTCCTTCCCTCAAACTGACGTGTATTACTATATGTTCACTAGGATTCATTGATGGTGATATTAAAATCTCTTAAACAGATTTCTTCAGTGTAATGGCAAAAACCAGTCTATGGTGTGTTTCTTGTGTGTTTGGGTCATTAGATGAAAATAATGATTAACATTGAAAATATGCTGAGGTTTGGATTTTGGTATGTTTTGTACTAAGGTATTTAAAATTAAAATCAGTAGTAAAAATTGAAACCTAAGGTTATATCATAATTTCTCTGGAGGTAAAAATAAACACCCCCATAGACCTTTAACATCAACTTGCATAGTGAGAAAAGTTTGTAAAATTTAAAAATATTAACATTTAGATATAATAAATACTATTAACCAGCATGAAGTCTTTTTTAGGGCTGTGTTTTATATATTTAATTAACAGTTCAATTAAAACCTTTGTTTACATGAATTGTATTTTGTATTCCTGATTTTGCTTTTAGAATAATCCAAAGTATTTCCTGAAAAAATTTATTGCAGATGACTTTCTAGTTGATAGTTTTTTGCCTTTAATTTTGTGTGTTGTTCTAGTGAATATTTGGCAATATTCAAGAAGACAGTTGCAATGCATGAAGTGTTCCTATGTCGTGTGGCAGCACATCCTATTTTGAGAAAAGATCTAAATTTCCATGTCTTCTTGGAATATAATCAAGATGTGAGTATCAAGTTGATGAATGCAGTAGTTCAGGTTTTTTAAAGAGTCATTAGAAAAGGTGGGAAGTAGTTAGTATAAAGCCTTTTTAAGAATGTTTTTATTTTTTTAAAAAAGTTTAAAGGGGCACATTTTCAGTAATACTGAAATATTTCATTAATTGAGTGGATTAATTAAAGAAATGGTGGTAAATCATGTTCTATTCTGAGCACCTATAATCCAAAACTATAAAATCCAAAACTTTCTGAGAACCAACTTGATGCTCAGTTTTGGAGCATTTTATATTTCTGGATTAAGTCTGCTCAGTTGGTAAAATCTGTGCAAATATTCCCAAATTCAAAAAACTCCAAAATCTGAAACGCTGTGTTTCCAAGTATTTTGATAAAAGTCACCCTGTACTTTTATCAAGTTGATACTGATATTTCATCCTGAATAGTGAACTTAAGAAATAAAGTGGGCTGGAGATGTAGCTTAGTAGTAGAGCACTTGCTTAACATGCCGGAGGCCCTGAGTTCAATCCTCATTATCTCACACACACACGGAAGATAGAATAGGGTTATCAAATTGATTAATGTTTTTAAATTTGAATTTGGGCCTTCTGAAGCTTTGTGGAGAATTCCAGGGAGGTTCTTGAGCTAAAAAATTCTAGATTATGGCTGGACATGGTGGTGCATACCTGTAATTCCAGTGACTTGAGAGGGTGATGCAGAAGGATCATAAGTTCAAGACCAGCCTCAGCAACTTAGTGAGTCCCTAAGCAATTTAGCAAAACCCTGTTTCAAAATAAAAAAAAAAAAATAGAAAAGGGCTGGTTATGTAACTCAGTGGTAAAGTTCTAAGAGGAGGAAAATTTATTTGGCTCATGGTTTCAGTCTGTGGTTGGTTGGTACCATTGCGTTGGGAATGAATGGAGGCACAGCATCATTGTGGAAGGGCATGCAAGGGAAAGTTACTTACTTTATGGCAGCTGGGAAGCAGAGCAAGCTAAAGATTTCTTTATTCATAGTGCTGGCAAAATTTTATTTTAGTAGATAGTTGATACTTGTCATAGAACTTATATTTAGATGACAAGACTAATTCATAGCTTTTATGGAAAACATGTAGGATAGTGCTTAATTTGATTACAAGTTAACATCAGGATTAAAGAATTTTGCGAATATAAGCTTACTTTTCTGGTTTGGTTTTAGTAAATATAAATTATACATTAAGTTCAAGGCTACACTCAGCAATTTAGTGAAACCCTATCTCAATAAATAAATAAATAAAGTCTAGGGATGTAGCTTGATGGTGAAGCATCTCTGGGTGCTTTCAGAAAGCTTCGGGGTTCATACATTTTCTTACACCAAAGCAAATTTATTTATTATTTTTTCCTTATAAACAAGCATTTAAACAAACATGCCAGGCATAGTGATGCATGCCAATAATCCCAACTACCCAAGAGGTTGAGGCTGAGGATTTTGAGTTTAAGGTCAGCCTGGCAATTTAGTGAGACCTTGCTTAAAAAATGTATTTGTGTGTGTGTGTGTGCACGTGTGCGCATGCACGTGTGCATATATATACACACATATGTATATATGTATATGTATACGTATGTGTATGTGTGTGTGTATATTGGCACATACACACTTAGTAAGGAGGTTGATATATTCTAATAACCCCTTTTTTAAAATATTTTTTTAGTTGTAGTTGGACATGGTACCTTTATTTTATTCATACTTTTTTTTTTTTTTTTTATGTGCTGAGGATTGAATCTAGTGCCTCACACATGCTAGGTGAGTGCTCTACCACTGAGCCAGAACCCCAGCCCCATAATAACTCTTTTAATATCAGCAAGTGGTGTTTTGGAGAAAGCCTAAAAAGATGGACTGGAGCTTAGTGCGATGGTGCATGCCTGTAATCCCAGCAACTCTGGAGGCTGAAACAGGAGGATTGCAAGTTTCAGGCCAGCCTCAGCAATTTAGTGAGGCTCAAAGCAACTTAGCAAGACCCTGTCTTAAAATAAAAAATTTAAATGGCTGGGAATGTAGCTTAGTAGCAAAGTGCCTGTAGGTTCAATCCTACCACTCGACCTCACCCCAGAAAAAAAGGACTGGAAAATGTTCTTTAATTGTTTACAGAGTGGACAGATGAACAGTTGAAGTATCACAGGGCCATGGGACTTAGGGGGAGACCTAGAAAGCCTTGTTCTTGTATTTAATTGAGAAAGGGCCACTGTTATGAGAAATAATAGCCTTTAATTTGCTTTACTTATCCAGTGGGGAATAGTCTTGAGTCTGTTTAACAACAGATTTTTTTTTTTTTTAATTGTATCAGGGATTGACCCCAGGGACACTTAACCACTGAGCAACATCCCCATTCCTTTTTATTTTTTATTTTGAGACAGGGTCTCCCTAAGTTGCTTAGGGCCTAGCTAAATTGCTGAGGCTGGATTTGAATCTGTGATCCTCTGCCTCAGCCTCTTGAGCTGCTGGGTTACATGTATGGGCCACCAAGCTGGGCTGGATATTTATTTATTTATTTATTTTTGGGTAGTGCTGGGAACCTAGGACTTTATGCATGGTAGGTAAGTGCTCTGTCACTGAGCTAAGTCCCCAGCCAACAGAGCATAATATATTTAATCCCCTAACTTCCATTAAATAAACTACCTCAATCAGTAGGCACACATAGGATCTTTTCATTGCCTTAGTATTACAGACTCTGAACAGACTTTTGTCTGTTCTCTTCTTCCTATTTCCATTAGTCATTCATACATCAAGACCATTGACTTCATTTTGACTCTTGTTAGCAGTTCTCCTGTGTACCTTTCTCTCATCTAGAGTACTTTCCCTATCATTTATAACAAACTTCCATCTTTTCATTTTCTGTAATAGCGAATTTCAACTCACATCAGTTTCTCTTGATCAGATGATAACCTTGGTTTCAGGAAAGTGGAAAACAATCAGAAATCAAATTCCTAAACTTCGTATGTTCCCCATAATGATCAACCACCTTGGCAGCCACACTCATTTATTAACTTTTATATTTTATTTTTGCTTCTTATTTTCTAGTTATCTTTTATATCTTTTTCCTGCCTAACTTGCCTGGCTAGAATTTCTAGGACATTGTTAACTGAAGTGGCAAAAGCAAGACATCCTTTCCTTTTTCCTGATGTTAAGGGGAAAGCATTCACCCTTGCACCCTTAAAGATGATGTTAGTTGTGGACTCTTTTTTTTTTTTTTAGTTGTAGATGGACACAATATCTTTGTTTTATTTGTTTATTTTTTATATGGTGCTGAGGATCGAGCCTAGTGCCTCACGCATGTGAAGCAAGTGCTCAACCACTGAGCTACAACCCCAGCCCAGTTGTGGACTTTTTATAGATGTTCTCTGTCAGCTTGAAGAACAATTCAGTCTTAGTGTATGGTAACTGGCCCCAGTGTGTCATGGGAGAAAGAGGCAGACAGATCTAGGATTGCAGAATGCAGTTTTAGAGGTCTTGCTAAAAGTGTGGTTCAAGGTAGCAACATGACCAGTTGGATCCACACAATTTGGGTTAGAAGGATATGTGTATATATAAGTTAGGACAAAAGTGACTTCATCTTAGCTAGAATATACCTCTTTAATCTTAAGCTCTAATATTAAAGAGTCAGGCACATTCCTTAGAGCCAGAGTCTAGTCATAAGGTTCCATATAGCCCTCAACCAACTAGGGTTACTCCGGATCAGTTATGGTAGTTATTACTCAAGATGTCTAAGTCTTATGGGCATTGAAGTCATGGCAATGTGTAAGGAAATTAGATGGTGTGTTGCTTTATAGGGCACCTTGATGCAGCAAGCACTAGGAGTCAAAAAGAGTTAGCTGCTTCTCACTTTTACTCTTGGATGACCATTCATCCATTCAAAGTCATCTTTTGTGTTTCTTATACTATGAGTTGCTGACACCCAACACAGGATAAAGAGTTGATATTTGGATGAGTTCAGAGTGAGAAATTTGCAGAATATATTTTCAGAGGTATTACAGAATCATATGATGATATATTTTACCTCAGTAAATTTCATGTTTAAAAGGACTCCTGAGTTAATTTTTTTTAAACATTTTTATTCGTTATTGATGGATTTTTAATTTTATTTATTTATTGGCATGTAGTGCTGAGAATCGAACCAGTGCCTCACACATGCTAGGCAAGCACTCACCACTGAGCCACAACCCCAGCCCCTGAGTTAAATTTTTATTGTTATTGTATTATATATAGTACTTGACAAAGTAAGGTGAAAGGGCTACTTATAACAGAATTATCAAATATGCTTGTAAAATTGGACTTATCTAGACCTTATTGTAGTCCACCTGAATCTTTTAGAGTAAGGCTGGAGTTATTACCAAACTTTTTAGTACTAGGGATTGAACCCAGGAACACTCTACCACTGAGCCCTTTTTTATTTTGAGACATGATCTTGTTGAGTCGCTCAGTCTGGCCTTGAGCTTGCTGTCTTCCCACCTCACTCCCGTAAGTATTATAGACACAGCAGAAGCCTATAGGGATTATAGGTGTGTACCATCATGCCTAGCTTAAAATCCTCTTTTATGCCCTAAAGTTTGAAAACTGTTAATACACATGATGAAATTTCCATTTTAAGTTTAAAAACTTGGGATTCTTTTGAGATTATAAGTTAAATGTCTAAGATAAAAGACATACTACTTTGCATTTGTAACCTTAAAAAAATGCTAATTGTAATTACCTTTCTTCAGTTGAGTGTGCGAGGAAAAAATAAAAAAGAGAAACTTGAAGATTTCTTTAAAAACATGGTTAAATCAGCAGATGGAGTAATTGTTTCAGGAGTAAAGGTAAGACTTGATTAACAGTGTAATTGGTTGAAAATTTGCTTCTTTCATTATTTAATTATTTATTTTTGTGGTGCTGGGGATTGAACCCAGGGCCTTGTGCATGCAAGGCAAGCATTCTACCAGCTGCGCTGTATCCCCAGACCGAATTTACTTCTTTTGAAAGGGAAATAGATTGAGATTTTGTATGTTCAGAATTAGAGTAAGAATTTGGACAATAGAATCCTTAGGCCTGGGAAATTGTGTCCCTACCCTGGCTCTCTTTAGTGAGTTCTTTTCTCCAAGGAGTGAGAAGTCTGCAGTCCAGGAGATTTATCCATCTGGAGTTACTTCTTTACAATAAAGACCATGTTGCAGATATCTCAACTCCCGTGTTTCCTTGCCCAAATCCAAAGCCACCTTCCAGGTTCTGCATAGATGTCTTCTCCCCAGCTGTGCTGCTGCTGTGCATTTCATGGATGGTGAAGGGGTGATTGTAGGGCAGCTAAGTAAAGGGGAGGGGCAAGGGAAAAGATCAGTGTGCAGGTTGAAATGTTCACCTGTATATGCCCAAGGACCCTCTAGGTATAGGTTAGAGCTGTAGGGTGGAATAAGAAGAGGGGCTGCAAATGTTTTTACACTTGCCCTTAGCTTAGCCTTGCAAATATTAAGAGATAGACCTAGAATCAGATTTGAAGTTAGAAGATCTCATTTGAAGTTTTAGTGTTGCCTTCTGCTGCTATATGTTCTTGGGGAAAGTTTCTTTCTCTGAATTTTATTTTTTCCATTTCCAAAATGGGGTTAATAATATGACCTAGCTCACAGAATTATTGAAAAGACTGAATAAGATAATATGTGTAATAATACTTAGAAAGCTAATTATTTATTAAATTAATTATTTACTTACAGTTTATAAAAGTCTTGATATAAAACACTAGTTCTCAAAATGTGGTGTACTGAAACCTAGACCTCAAGATCCTTTTATTTTTATTTATTTTTTTTATAAGTGGACACAATGTCTTTATTTTACTTTATGTGGTACTGAGGATAGAACCCAGTGCCTCATGCATCCTAGGCGAGTGCTCTACCCCTGAGCCACAACCCCAGCCCCCAAGACCCTTTTAAAGCAAGTCTTCAAGGTCAAAACCATTTTCATAAAATTATTATGATACTTTTTGCCTTTTTTTACCATGTTGATAGTTAAAACTAGCATATATGAATTAAAGATTTTTAAACATTTTTGTCAATACTAACTCTTGCTGCTTGTGTTCTATTGATGTAAGTCTCACATTATTAACTGATATTTTTCCAATGAAACATTGCTAGTTTAGAAGGGGTAAAAGTACTGTGAATATATGATTTTTCACTTCTCATGTATACATGGCTTTATTTTTTTTTAAAGATTGACTACAGTGGTTAATCATATCATTGCTCCCAGATAGGTAATTTGGCCAGTTTCCCCAGAGCAGTCAGCCCTAATGAGTAAGGTGTGGAAGCCACAGAATAGCTCATAGATTGTCTGTTAGACCAAGAAAATCAATGTTTACTTCTAGTGACAGAATTTTTCTTTTTCTGAAAAACAATTGATCACTCCCACTGGCATTAAGGTGTCTGTTGAAGTAGAGCACAAGTAGGAACACGTTTCAGAGTAAAACATGGGAAAGTGAACCATAAGAGGATCTCTGAGCCTTCAGCTACAAAACTATAGATATCTTTTGTTTTAATATTTATTTTTTAGTTATAGGTGGACACAATATCTTTATTTTATTTGTATGTGGTGCTGGGGATCGAACCCAGCGCCTCACACATGGTAGGCGAGTGCTCTACCTCTGAGCCATAGCCCCAACCCTAGATGTCTTACTTGATAGAAAGGTAAGCCAGATACTTAAGGTAGGTGTGGTGGTACATGCTAGTAATCCCAGCTACTTAGGAGACCAAAACAGGATGATGACAAATTTGAGGCCATTCTGGACAACATAGCAAGCAAGTCCCTCCCTCTCAAAAAAAAAAAAAAAAAAATCCCAAAACAAAGAAAGAAATGCATGTCTATTAAAGTCTTAATATGTTCATAAAATCGATTTTAAACTCTTGATTTTTAGAGGATATAGCTGTGCTGTTTTCCTGATAATCTTTGTATGTTTATAATGTTGACAAAGTTATTTCTATATCATACTAAAGCAAAATAAGTGAAAAAAGCTCATATTTTCTTTTGATTCTATAGGATGTAGATGATTTCTTTGAGCATGAACGAACTTTCCTTTTAGAATATCATAACCGAGTTAAGGATGCGTCTGCTAAGTCTGATAGGATGACAAGATCCCACAAAAGTAAGACTTTTTTTTTTTGTGTGTGTGTGTGTGTGTGGCTTTAGCTTGAAATTTTTAATGGAATAATAATAATAAGGCTGACTTGTTACTTAGAGTTTGTAAAAGTCTTGATATGAAACAGTGGTTCTCAAACTGTGGTCTATTGAAGCTTAGACCCCAAGTGAGTCTGCAAGGTCCAAAATTATTTTCATAAAAATACTGTAGATACTTTTTTGCCTTTTTCACCATTCTGACATTTACACTGATGATGCAAAGGAAAAAATGGATAAAACTCTTTGTGCCTTAGTATATACAAATCAAGGCAGTAGCATCAGACTTTACTAATAATAGTCACTGTAGTTTTTCCTGCCATGACTTACAATTTTCTAAAAATGTAACTTTGATGTAGCAGCAAAAATTATAACAAATCTCCACCCCAGAGTTCACATTTTTTAAATATTGAGTGATAAAATGGGAAATATCTATAAAGCACTTTGCATACTAAAATGTTATGATTCTCTCTGGAAGAGCATTTTAAATACTGTTGAGTTGTGACTGAACTAAGTGCTTTTTCCATGGAATACCATATTTACTTGTAAGAACAACTAACAGATTTCCCAAACAACCAGGGCATAATGCCACAAATTGTGTATATAAAAGATTCATTCAAAGTACAAGATAGATCAATGAGGTTTATGAACAGCTTATTTGAGTATATTTAGTATTTTTTTTATAATTAGTATTTATAAGATTTGGTGTCAAAGTGTACAGTTTAATCTAGTAAAAATTGTGAACATGTATCCATAACCCCTGAAAGTGGCCTTTAGTGTATACTTTTTTTTTTTTTTTAAAGAGAGAGAATTTTTTTTAAAAAATATTTTTATTTTAGTTCTCGGCGGACACAACATCTTTGTATGTGGTGCTGAGGATCGAACCCGGGCTGCACGCATGCCAGGCGAGCGCGCTACTGCTTGAGCCACATCCCCAGCCCTAGTGTATACTTTTTATTGTTGAGTTTTGTTTTTTGTTTTTTTTTTTATACCGAATAGTATTCTATTGTATGGATATGCCAACATAATCATTTGTTCATTTGCCTATTGGTGAACATTTGAGTCATTTCTAACTTGTGTCTATTACATTATCCACCTGCATGTCTCTTTGCATGGATGCAAATTTAACTTTTTAGGAAACTGGCACTTTTTTCATAATGATTATCCCATTTTGCATTTCCAAGAGCAGTGACGTGAGAGTTCAGTTGCTCCACATCCTTGTCAGTCTTTTTTTATTAGCATTATTTTTTAACTAATACATAAAAACATAAAAATTATGTATATTAATGCAGTATTAAGTGACATTTTAATATAGGCACATTGTATAATATTTAAACCACATTAAACATCTGTCTCTGAACATTTATTATCTTTATGGTGAAGACTTTAAAATCTTTTCTTTAGCTTTTTGAAATGTACCTTATTCTTACCTTTTGCCACCCTACTGTGTAGTAGCACACCAGAACTTCTTTCTCCTAATAAAAAATATGGGGAGAAAAGGACCGCCTTGCTCCTAACTACAACTTAATACCCATTGATCAACCTTTTATCATTATTCCCTCCCCCTTCTCTCCTTAGCCTCTGATAATCACTGTTCTACTCTCAACTTCTATGAGTAGTGTCTACATATGAGTGAGATCATGTACTTGTCTTTCTGTGCCTGGCTTATTTCAGTATATATTGTTGGGAGTCTCCTTGAGAACTCCCCAGGCCTTTCAAACATGACGGTGGGCAAATTGCCAGTGGGCGGCTAGAACTCCCTGGGCCTTTCAGATAAGGAGCCCCTAATGCAACATGGCGGCAGGCAAGTTGCCAGTGGGCGGATAACAAGTTGTTTTGAAAATTTTCTAATTGGTCCTCCCATCTTCTGTGATCGTGGACAGCTCATGCCCCCCATGAATCTTATGCAGGGTGGACGTGCGTGCACCATAGGTGATGATCTGACCTTTACTATGATTGGCCCCCGGAGCTTCCTGGTTTAAGATAACTGACTCTCACTTTCTATATAAACTAGCACCAGCTTGCAGTAAAGTGCTTCATCTTGTCACTGCTATCTGTGTGTGTGCATTTTAATCTCCGACAACGAAACTTCTCCTTTCATATATGATGATCTCCAGTTCCATCCACATTATTGCAGATGTCAGGGTTTTATGTCTGAACACTATTCTATTTTTATTTACCATGTTTTCTTCATTCATTCATCAGTTGATTGATGGTTATCTTGTTTACAGTTTTTTTAATATTTATTTTTTAGGTGTAGTTGGACACAATACCTTTATTTAATTTATTTATTTTTATGTGGTGCTGAGGATTGAACCCAAGGCCTCGCACATGCTAGGCGAGCGTTCTACTGCTGAGCTACAACCCCTTGTTTACAATTTTTGGCTATTGTGAATAGTGCTGCAATGAACATGGGAATACAGATGTCTCTTCAGAATTCTGATTTCACTTCTTTGGGATTTATCCCCAGTAATAGAATTGTTGGATCATATGGTAGTTCTACTATAATTTTCAAGGATTCTTCATATTGTTTTCTGTAATGACTTTTACTAACTTAATAATCCCACCACAGTGTGCAAGTATTTTCTTTTCTTCATAGGTCGCTAGCTTTTACCTTTGATTTACATTTTCCTGGTGATTAGTTATGTTGAATTTTTTTTTTCCTTGCAATACTGGGGTTGAATCCAGGTTCTCAGGCACAGTAGGCAAGTTTTCTACCACTGAGCCACATCTTCAGCCCCAGCCCTTTTTTGAGACAAGGTCTTGCTAAGTTGCCCAGGCTGATCATGAACTTGTTATCTTCCTGCCTTAGCCTCCCAAGTAACTGGGATTACAGATGTGTGCCATAATGCTTGGCACTATTGAACATTTCTTAATATACCTCTTGGCCATTATATGTTGTCTTTTAACAAATGTCTAGGTTTGTTGCACATTTTAAAAAATATTTATTTTTAGTTGTCTAGGTTAGTTGCACATTTTAAAAAATATTTATTATTTTTTAGTTTATTTATTTATTTTTAGTTTATTTATTTATTTTTGTGTGGTGAGTGCTCTACCACTGAGCTATAACCCCAGCCCATGTTACACATTTTTTAATTAGGTTAATCCTTTTTTTTTTTTTTTTTTTGGCTATTGAATTTTTGAGTTCCTTATGTATTCTAGATATCAATATCAAATATACATATTATAAATATTTTCTGTCATTCTTCAGATTGTCTCTTTATTATTTCCTTTGCCGTGCAGCTTTTTTTTTTTTGATACAGTCCCACAAGTTTGTTTTTCTCTATTTCCTGTATGTTGGGGGTTTTTCTCAAAAAAATTTTTGCCTAGTTTTTTTGGGGTTTTTTGTTTGTTTGTTTGTTTGTTTTGATACCAGGGATTGAACCCAGGGGCACCCACTGAGCCACATCCCCACCCCTTTTTAAAAAGTTTTTTTATTTTGAGACAGGGTCTCACTAAGCTGCTTAGGGCCTCTCTACATTGCTGAAGCTAGCCTTGAACTTGTGATCCTCCTGCCTCAGCCTCCCAAGCTTCTGGGATTACAGGTGTGCACCACTGCGCCTTGCTAAATCTTTACCTATTCTGATGTCCTAAAGTATTTCCCTTGTATTTTCTTCTGGTGGTTTCATAGTTTCAGGTTTATATAAGTCTTTAAACTATTTTGGATTCATTTTTTGACTGATGAGAGGTAGGGGTCTAGTTTTATTCTACTGGATATAAATATCCAATTTTTCCAGCACCATTTATTTAAAAGATGGCTCTTTCTTCAATGTGTTTCTTAGCACCTATGTCAAAAGTCAGATGACTGACTGTAAATCCATGAGTTTGTGTCTAGGCTCTATTCTCTTGCATTGGTCTGTGTGTCTGTATTTATTGCTAATATTATCAGTTTAATTACTAAGCTTGGTACTCTGTTTTGAAGTCAGCATATTGTGTCCTGCTTGCTTTTTTCCCTCAAAATATCTTTGTTTATTCAGTGTGTGTGTGTGTGTGTGTGTGTGTGTGTGTCGGGGAGGTTCCGTATGAATTTTAGGACTGTTTTTTGTAGTTCTGTGAAGAATGCCATAGGTATTTTGATTGGAATTGCATTGAATCTGTGGATTGCAACTTTACTAAGTTTGTAGTGTGTAGTGTGTACCTGGCATACTAATGGGTTTTAATTTATAAGTATAAGAAGTGTATTAAGTTGTCCATGGTGGCACATGCCTATAATCCCAGCTACTCAAGATGCTCAGGTAGGAGGACCACAGATTTGAGGCTAGTTTCACCAGCTTAGCAAGACTCTCCCTCAAAATGGGCGGGGCGGGGGGGGGAAGAAGAAGAAGTGGGAGTAGCTCACTGGTAAAGTGCTTCTGATTTCAATTCCTTGTACTGCAAAAAAACAACAACAAGAATTTCATTGATAATGATTTTAGAGTCCACATTACAAGTAATTATTGAGTTTGGTGTAATAATAAAGAAGAATATCCATGATTATTTGAAAAGGTTAGTAGAATACCTCTTCCTTTTCTAGTTATATATCCGTGTAGGCTGGATTTTTTCCCCCCACATACTTAAAAGCAGTATTATCATAGTAGATCGAATGAAAAGCAGATTGAATGAATGCAGAAGCAGATAATGAGAATCTATTGTCTATTGAACCAGGTACAACAGAGATATATAAAAATGTAATGTTGTCATGCTGCTCCCTAATTTTTTAAAAAATAGCTCTTTTTCATTTGAAAGTTTACTTATGTAAATATGGGTTTAAACAGGCTGGGTTTAAATGTAGCTCAGTGGTATGTTAATTTTATTTTTTCCTTTTATTTATGTTTTGTGGTGCTGGGAATTGAACTCAGTGCCTTACATGTGCTAAGAAGCACTTTACTTCTGAGCCACATTTCCAGCCCTAATGCTATTAATTTTAAATAAATTACTAAATGTTCAAAATTTTTGTTTTACATTTTTGAAAAATATACAGTATATATTGATAGATAATAACACATGTAAAAAGAAGCTCTTCAGATTCCTCAGTAATTTTTAAGAATGTAAAGGAATCCTAAGATCAAAATTTGGATAACCTCCGAAATAGGGTCAAGTCAATAGAGTGAGTACTTAGAATCATTAACCTCCATTTTATAGTAACAGGAGAAAAGAAGTCTCTGGCTTGGCTACTTCTGTTCTTGTGTCATTCTTTTGTGAGGGTTTCTGTTACCAATAACCAAGCCAGGAAACCTGCCTGGATCCCAGCTGGCCAGTTTCAGTTACTGTTTCAGTTAGCTTTTCATCACTGTGACGAAAAGACCTGACAAGAACAATTTAGAGGGGAAAAGTTTATTTTGGCTCACAGTTTCAGAGGTTTGATATCAGATTATTGGAACAGTTTGCTGGTTGGTCACCCTGCTTTATTTTTCTCCACAGAATTTTTTAATATCTAAAATCCTTCTCAGGTGGAGTTTACCACTACTATGACATAAATATGTTCAATAAGATCCATTGTCACAAGATCAAATCTAAACTCTTATCATGGCCTATATGATCTTTTATTCCATTCACTCCCCTATGCATCCTGCAGTCCCACCCCAGGCTCTTTGAATATACTATTCTTCTTTATGATATGTATTTCTCTTATTCCCTTTATGCAAAATGTTATCCTTTTGTTTGGTAAAGATTTGCTCATCATACAAACTCCAGCTCATTCTATAGTTTTGTAAATCCTTTCTTGACTTACTGAAGTAGGAATCATCTGTTTCCTCTGTTCTTAAAGCAGTTTTCACATATACCCAATATAATATCCACTGAATTGTTATGGTTGTTTGTGTTATTTCCTTTACTTGATTTGGTGTATCTCTTGCAGATAGCTGTTCAGTCAGTATTTTTAAATTAATGACCAAATATATTTTTGAAACTTTTTCCATAGGTGCTGCAGATGATTACAATAGAATTGGTTCTTCATTATATGCTTTAGGAACTCAGGATTCTACAGATATATGCAAGTAAGGATTCTAATTAAAAACATTATTAGATATAAGCAAAATAATTTGTTGGCATACTTGTAATCTCTAGGCAGGCATTTTGGAATATTTTTGTCAAAGCATTGATAATAAGAAATGTTTTTATAAACTTGAGTTGATTCATTTTTTCTTATCTAATATTTTTTAAATCTGAAAAATAAAATAAGCTTTAGTATGTAGTTTTAGTATTTACAATCTTCTGTTAGATGAAAGTGGGATATTTATGTATTAGAGAATTTTTTAGTGTTGTTTATCATAAATAATAAATGTTATTTTGAAATTTTATATACAGGAGTTGGGGTGAGTGTGTGTGTGTGTGTGTGTGTGTGTGTATTTCATTGGAGCTTGGACTTTTTTTCCTTCCATACTGGGGAAGGAAGTGCACCCAGGGACACTTCACTGAGCTACATCCACACCCTTTTTATTTTTTTATTTTGATACAGGGTCTTGCTAAGTTCTTTAGGGCCTCACTAAGTTGCTGAGCCTGGCCTCAAACTTGGGATTCTTTATTGACTTTATGCTAGTTGTTTTAACTAGTTAATTTTAGTTGCTCCTATAATATTACTTGTTTATTGAAAAATAATTCAAATATATATTTGTTTGCTTATTTATTTATTTATGATATTGGGGATTGATCCTAGCGACTTGTGCATTCTAGGCAAGGGTTTTACCATCGAGCTCCATCCCCAGCTGTTTTTTTGGGAGTGGGGGCGGGGACCAAGGATTGAACTCAGGGGCACTCAAACATTGAGCCACATCCGCAGCCCTATTTTGTATTTTATTTAGAGACAGGGTTTCATTGAGTTGCTTAGTGCCTTGCTGTTGCTGAGGTTGGCTTTGAACTCACAATCCTCCTGCCTCAGCCTCTTGAGCCACTGGGATTACAGGTGTACGCCACTGGCCCAGCCTTAGCTGTTTTTTTTTTTTGTTTTGTTTTGTTTTGGTTTGAATATTTATTTTTTGGTTGTAGTTGTCAATACCTTTATTTTTATTTATTTATTTATTTAATGTGGTGCTGAGGCTCTAACCCAGGGTCTCGCAGGTGCTAGGCAAGCGCTCTACCGCTGAGCCACAACCCCAGTCCCTAAACCTTAGCTGTTTTATTTCTTGTATTTTGAGACAGAATCTTGCTTAGTTACTGAGGCTGACTTCAAACTTGTGATTCTTCTGCCTTAGTCTCTGGAATAGCCAGAGGCATGCACCACAACACTTAGATCAAATACATTTTATTTTATTTTATTTATTTATTTTTTTCAAATACATTTTAAAACAATGTTTCATAATTCATTTCTTTTTTCAAGACATATTCTTGAACTTTCCTCTTCTCTAAATGTGTTTAGTACACATTTAAGGGCCAATATTTGGAACAAAGCAAGAGATCATAACTTACAATAATGAAGATTCTATCTCGCCAAAGAGTTAAAATTTTTTTTCTCTTGTACTAGGGATTGAACCCAGAGGCATTCTGTCACTGAGCTATATTCCCAACCCTTTTATTATTTTTTTTTTTTAATTTTGAGACAAAGTTGCTGAGGTTGACTTTGAATTGATCTTCCTGCCTCAGCCTCCCAAGTTGCTGGAATTATAGACATGTGAAGAATTAATACTTAAGTCTTTGATAAGAAGAAAAAAATAAACCTTGCCATGCTATCAAACAATCTGTTAAGGCAAGTTGTGTTCAGTAAAACAAAGTTTATTAAATAGTGTGTTTTTTTGGCGGGGAGGGGAGGGGTGTCAGAGATTGAACTCAGGAGCACTCCACCACTAAGCCACATCCCCAGCACTATTTTGTACTTTATTTAGAGACAGGGTCTCACTGAGTTGCTTAGGCTCTCAAGGTTGCTGAGGCTTGCTTTGATCTTCTTGTCTCAGCCTCCCAAGCCAATGGGATTACAGGTGTGCACCACTGCACCTGGCTTAAATTGTGGTTTTGCTTTCTGTAGTTTGCCCTAATCCAATTATCATGCCATTTATGATTATGTATTTTACAGAATGCTTTTTAATAGTTTCACGTGGCCTTGAATATGCTGAACATACAGTCTACCATTGAGCTATAAACCTAGTCCCTGTGATACTGTTTTTTGGTTTTTGTTTTGTTTTGTTTTGGTACCAGGGGTTGAACCCAAGGGCGATTAACCACTGAGCCATATCCCCAGCCCTTTTTTATATTTTATTAGTGACAGGGTCTCACTGAGTTGCTCAAGGCCTTGCTAAATTAGTGAGGCTCATTTGAATTTGATATCCTCCTGCCTCAGCCTCTCAACCACTTGGGATTATAGGTGAGCCCACCATGCCAGGCGAGATAGTTTTTAATTGATATCAGCATTTGACAGACTGTTTAGTAAAGGGAAAATTAATTCTGAGCTAGGAATTGGTTGTTCATTTTCATTACTTTTCAAAACAAAGTAGCTATATTTGAAAATGTTTAAAATAAAACTATCACTGAGCATGTAGCACATGCTTGTAATCCCAGAAACTCAGAGGAGACTGAAGCAGGAGGATCCCAAGTTTGAGACCCAGCCTCAGCCTCTTAGTGAGATCCTCAGCAACTTAGTGAGAGTCTGTTGCAAAATAAAAAGGACTGGAGAGGTAGCTCAGTGGTAAAGTACCCCTGGATTCAATTACAGTATCAAAAATGTAAAACATAACTCTCCAGTAACTTTAAGAAGTTCTCCAGCTTCAGTACTGTCAGTCAACCTTTTGTCTCTTTCAGTGTAATTGCTTTGTATTTCTGTAATAATGTTGAAAGTACAGCCTCTATTTAGTATTATGTGATATATTACTTGAAGGAATATCAAGATAAATTTTAAGTTTGGTATATGGCTTAGATTGTGTCTTGAAATGAAATGGGGAAATTTCCTGTAACAGATTTCAAGTAATGTGTTATATTGGTGGAAGTATAGGAGGTTTTTCCTGAACTAAATGAAGTCTCCAGTTAATAAGACCATTGAATTTTTTATATTAGGAAACAATAATGCTCATTAATGAAATGGTTTGGGAACATATTCTGTAAATATCTGATGTGGGAAATTATTTCAAATGTAGCTTCTGATGAAAATATTTTTCCCTTCCAGGTTTTTCCTCAAAGTTTCAGAACTGTTTGATAAAACTAGAGTAAGTACTAAATTCTGGAGATCTACTGCATAGTGATATATCTGTACTATAATGAACAATATTGTATTGTATACTTAAAAATCTGCTAAAAGGATACATCTTGTGTCATGTATTATTACCATAATAATTTTTTTTCAAAAAGGTAATTAAGCCTTTGAGGATCTAAATCTCTGCATATAGTAATGTTTAACTTGTAGTTGTGTTTAATTTATTGAGGAAGATGAATATATTTCAGGATTATGATAGATTTTAATTCCACTGAGAGTTTTTCAGGAAGTTGTTTTTGTTAAAGAGTTTTGGTATTTGTATAAAAGAAAACATTCATTAGGAAGATAGAGTTTGGGGCTGTTGCTGGGGCTCAGCGGTAGCACACTTGCCTGGCATGTGTGAGGCACTAGGCTCAATTCTCAGCACTGCATTTGATAAATAAAATAAAAGTCTATAGACAACTTAAAAAAAAAAAAAAGAAGACCTAGTTTATTTTTTATGAAGAACAATCAATCCTTTTCTGGAGCTTTGTAAATTCAGAGGAAGTCTTAGATTCATTTTAACTATATCAAGACTGGATTGGGGCTGGGGATGTGGCTCAAGCGGTGGTGCACTCGCCTGGCATGCGTGTGGCCCGGGTTCGATCCTCAGCACCACATACAAACAAAGATGTTGTGTCTGCCGAAAACTAAAAAATAAGTATTAAAAAATTAAAAAAAAAAAAAAAAGACTGGATTATGGGCTTGGGCTGTGGCTCAGTGGTGGAGCACTTGCCTCACATGTGTGAGGTAATGGGTGTGATACTTAGCACCACATAAAAATAAATAAATAAAGATTTTTTAAAAATTTAAAAATTAAGGACCATGTTGCTTTTGATATTCTGTAACATGCTGGTTTAAAAATTAATAGTGTTATCTCAGCACCACAGAATAAATAGTAAAAACAGTGTTGGGCCTACTGGTGTAGCTCAGTGATGGAGTTGTTACATGCTTAGCATTTATGAAGCTGCAGGTTTGATCAGTAGTCCCCCGCTCCCCACAAAAATGAATAGTTTCATGGGCAAGGTGGTGCACATCTGTAATCCTAGCAGCTTGGGAAACTGAGGCAGGAGGATCACAAGTTCAAAGTCAGCCTCAGCATGTGGCAAGGCCCTAAGCAACTTAGTAAGACCCTGTCTTAAAATTAAAAATAAAATGTGCTGGGGATGTGGCTCAGTGGTTAAGTTCCCGTGGGTTCAATCTCTGGCACCACCAAAAAAAAAAAAAATTATCAATACAAGGCAAGTATACAACTATGGTAAAGTTGTACTCACTGTAGTAATAATTTACTGTAAGAATTTACTGTTAGAGTCTAGACAATATTTAACAGTTGATAAAACAGTGGAAATGTTTTTCAGCTGTTTAATGGTATTTAGCTGAGAAGTGGTTGCCAGTCCAGTATAGAAATCTGCCAATTGAGTTATGTATAGTAGGGATAAAAAAAAAGAAACTTTCTCACAAAGGACAAATGCGTAGGTGGTGACACCCTCATATCCATAATGCCATTCTTATCCCTTTCATGTTTGTATTACTGAGCATCTTCTAGGAATATATGGTGGTTTTCTGTGCATTTACATAAAAAGCATAAAGACCTATCCCAAAATATAATTGTGTCAAGTACGCTGAGAAATAGACTTCAAGATAGGATTAGATGTACAAGAGATATATTGTGAAGAATAGAAAGGAAGGAGCACAGTAGGCAGAAAGAACCTTCAGACTACAGTACAGTGTGGGAGGCCATCCTCGCATGTGATTTGATTTACCTCCCTGGCTGGGCGAGAGGCGCTTAGACACAGCTGTGTCAGAGCTATTCCCCACCCTTCTCCAGGTCTGAGGGCTTGTCCGTGCAGAGGCGTGTCTTGCCACTGCCCCAAAGACCCAGTCATCGCCCCTGACCTTGGGATGCTGCCCCCCTTAACCTTCATTGAATGGGATTTTCCCTGGAATTTTTTGTTCCCCAATAAAAGCCCACTCCCTGGCGTGTTCTCTCTCTCTTGCTAGTCTCTTCTGTAAACCTCGCTACCGCATTAGGTGGCTGGGGGGCGGGAGCTAGGAGAAGCCGTCCCATATACATGTGGCTTTTTCCACAAGACTGCTTGTGTTTTACAACCTGGTGTTTAGTTTCTAGAAGTGAGCCACCCCATATAACAGGAATTGAAAGCTACTGGTTTGTTAAAGCTGAGACCTGGAAACGGGCACAGTGCTTACCACTGGTCAGTCTAAGAACCTTGATTTAAGGGGTGAGGGCATGCAGCCTACTTTTCAATGGTAGGAGGGGAGTCATAATTTAAAACACCCATACTATCTACTATTATCAATCTAAATAAATTTTTAGCATACTTTGTAAGAAATTCCTGGGCTGGGTTTGTAACTCAGTGGTAGAGCACTTGCCTCACATGAACAGGGCCCTGAGTTTTAATCCCCAGCACTTCAAAAGAAAAAGGATTCCGTAAGTTTATTTCTCCACAATGTAGTAATTTTTAGAAGCTTCAAGTTTTTTTAACCTTCTATTGCAGTATATTAGATAAATAGTCATATATACATCAGAAGTGTATATGTGACTCAGTGAAATTTCACAATTGTTGTCAACACCAAGATCAAGAAATAAAACATTACCAGCTTCACAGAATGCCCTGCCCCTCTTCACCTACCTCATAAGACACCACTTTCCACAAAAGGAATACTTTCCTAGTTTCTGACACTAGAGATTTATTTTGTTTCTGTTATATAAATGCTTACGTAGTATGTATTCTTTATGTCTAGTTTTATTTATTCAACATTGATCCCCATGTTGTTGCATACATGTAGTTCCTTTTTTCTGATTGCTGTATAGTATTCCATTAATTTATCTCTTTTACTTTTAGTTGGTAGTCATTTGTATAGTTTGTTTGGGGTTCTGTATGTCGGTGTTATTGATTGTGATACTGGGCTTGAACTCAGTGGTTCTCTCCCACTGAGCTACATTCCCAACCCTTTTTATTTTGAGACAGGGTCTAAGTTGCTGAGACTGGCCTTGAACTTGTGATCTTCCTGTTTTAGCCTCCAGAGTCCCTGGGATTACAGGTGTGCACCAGTGTGCCCAACAGGGGTTCTTATTTTGTATATTGGAAATTGAAGCCAGAGATGCTTTATCACTGAGCTGCATCCCCAGTTCTTTTTATTAGGCAGTAGGATCTCACTAATTGCTGAAGCTGGCCCTGAATTTACAATCCTCCTGCTTTAGCCTACCAAGTAGCTGGAATTATAAGCGAGCACCACTGCCCCCAGCGGGTCTGGGATTCTTTACAGATACTACTGTTAAGACAATTGTATGGGCTAGGGTTTAGCTCAGTGGTAGAGCGCTTGCCTAGTATGTGTGAGGCACAGAGTTTGATCCTCAGCATCACATAAAAAATAAATAAAATAAATTTATTGTGTCCATCTACAACCAAAAATATTTTTAAAAAAGACAATTGTATATCCTTGGCAGAACTCCAGTATACATTTCTGTTGGTTTATATAACTAGGAAGCAAATTGGTGGATCATAAAGTATTCATATGTAAAGCTTCAGTAGATACTGCCAATTTGTTTCCCAAAGTGATTGTACCAATTTATACTTCTAGCAGAATGAATGAGAACATTCAGGTTATTCCACAGCTTGCTGGTGTGCATGTAGGGTTTTTTGTTTGTTTTTAACTTTTGATGATAATTTCATATTTATAGTAAAGTTTAAAAATAGTACATATTTATTCTGTTTTGTATCCTTTTGTGTACATCTCTCCTTTTTTACAGATAAGAATTATTAGATTTAATATGGCCCTTACTGTTATCCATGATTATGTCACCAAATGCCCAGTGTATAGATTTTTCCCTGTTATCTCATAAGTAGCTTTTTTACAGTGTAGTCTGAGTCAGAATCCAAATGAAGCCCGATATTGCATTTGATTGACATTATACATTTCTCTTATCCTAGGTCTCTCCAGATTCAAAGAGTTCTCATCTTTTTAAGTCTGGCATGGCTACTTCCCATTTCCATCCCAGCTCAATTTACTACATTTTGATGCTTCTTTGGTGTCCTCAAGTACTTTTTATTAATGCTTTGACCAGATTTTCTACTTAAGAAGGTTTGGTTTGAATTATCTAATCTGCCATTGCCAGCCTTTGTTATCTTAAAATCATATGTACATAGCACTTGCCATTGAAATAAATAGATAAATGAAGCTATTGATGTTGACACCTGTTGTAGCCAAGAACTGGAATCAGATATAAAATCTTTCTATAAGTTCACTAATGTCATTGATCTGATTTTTCTGTTCGTATTTTGTCAGGGGATGTGGCTCAAGCGGTAGCGCGCTTGCCTGGCATTCGTGCGGCCTGGGTTCGATCCTTAGCACCACATACAAAACATTTTGTCAGAGTTGCAAAGAAAAGCAAAAAACTAGAAGGAAGGAAAAAGGAAAGAAAGCTAGATAAAACAAACAGATACTGCAGTTATTTATAACTTTAATTTTTTTCGTAATTATTAATGAGAATGTTGAGTGATGATTTATTGATTTCATACCCAGTTTCCCCCCTTTTTTCAGAAAATAGAAGCAAGAGTATCTGCTGATGAAGACCTCAAACTTTCTGACCTTTTGAAATATTACTTAAGAGAATCTCAAGCGGCTAAGGTAACTTTATTGTTCGTTTCTTTACAGGTTGCTGGACTTAAACTGTTTAAAGGATGGCTTATTTTTGGATATTATATTTTCAAATGTAAATTTTTTTTTCTCCTCTTGGAATTGTAGATCAGGGAATCCCACATAAAAGTTTATAAACTTTTTGGGGCTGGGATTGTGGCTCAGAGGAAGAGTGCTTGCCTCGCATGCATGAGGCACTGGGTTCGATCCTCAGCACCACTTAAAAATAAAATAAAGATATTGTGTCTGTAACTAAGAAATAAATATATATTCTTTTTAATTTTTATTGTTGGTTGTGAAATAAATATTTTTTAAAAAGTTTATAAACCTTTGATATAATATGATCTAGAAATTTAAAACCAAAAATTTGGTATATTTCTTTAGGTAAACTCCTGCAAAAACATAAATGAAGTTTGTATGAGTCCTCCATCGAGGATGAAAGCACCATGAAACAAAAACATGCTTAATTTTAGGGCAACTCACATTTCTTGTTAGAAAGCTATGTGCAAAAAACCTCTTAGTAATCAAAAACATTTTTTAAAATATTTTTTTAGTTATAAATGGATCTTTTATTTTATTTATTTATTTATATGCAGTGCTGAGGATCGAACCCAGGGCCTCACAGATGCCAGGCAAATACTCTACCATTGAGCCACAACTCCAGTCCTCAAAAACATTTTTTAACATAGATGTCTACAAAGCACTAAAAACTTAAGATATTCTACAGAAATTCCTATCTGATCAGAGGTATTGATTTTTTTTTGGTACTGGAAATTGAACCCAGGGCCACTTTAACCACTGAGCCAAATCCCCATTCAGGTTTTTTTTTTTTTTTTTAATATATTTTATTTAGAGACTGGGTCTCACTAAGTTGCTTAGGGCCTTGCTAAGTTGCTGATGATGGCTTTGAACTTACAGTCCTCCTGCCTCAGCTTCCAGAGCTACTGGAATTATAGACATGTACCACCATGCCTGGCTGACTTTTTTTTTTTTTTTTTGTACTAGGGATTAAATCCAGGGGCGCTTTAATTACCAAGCCACTTCCTGGTCCTTTTAAAAAAAAAAAAAATATATATATATATATACTTTTTAGTTGTACGTAGACACAATAGCTTTATTTTATTTTTTTGTGGTGCTGAGGATAGAACCCAGTGCCTCACACTTGCTAGGTGAGTACTCTGCCACTGAGCTACAACTCCAGCCCCTCAGTTCTTTTTTGTATTTTATTTAGACATAGGGTCTCACTGAGTTGCTATAGCGCCCTGATAAGTTGCTAAGGCTGGCTTTGAACTAGTGACCCTCCTGCCTCACCCTCCTGAGCCGCTGGGATTACAGATGTGTATCACCTCGCCCAGCCTGGCTGACAGTTTTTATCAAATAATCAAAAACCTTTTAATTTTAATTTTGAGTATTTAGACACTTATAAGTATATGGTCCACAGCTGGGTGCTGTGGTATATGCATGTAATTCAAGCATCTTTGGAGGCTGAGGCAGGAGTATCACAAGTTCAAGGTTAGTCTTAGCAATTTAGTGAGATCTTATGTCAAAATAAAAAGGACCAAGGATGTGGTCAGTGGTAAAGGGCCTCAGGATTCAATCCCCAGTACAAAAAAAAAAAAGTATATTGTTTTATTTTACACAAGACAACAAATATGTACTTATTTAATATACATTGTAAACACTTAACCAGAGACTTAATTTAAAACAAAAGCAAGTTATATCACTTCTGGGTGTTTACCCACAAGAAGTGAAGTCATATTTCTATGCATACCTTCACAGCGATTTTATTTGTAGTAGTTTTAAACTGGTAACAACACAGATGTCTAGACAGACTGTGCTATTGGCATACAATGGAATACCACTCAACAATAAAACGGAATGAGCTACAGATAAGATGAAACTATGTGATGAACTTAAAAGTAATTTGGGGCTGGAATGAAGCTCAGTTGTAGAGCACTTGCCTAGCATGCATGAGCCCCAACATGTGGCAAATGAATAAATGACCCCACTTTATTTTTGTTTGTTTTATTTACGGAATGAAAGAAACCAGGCAGGGCTGGGGATGTGGCTCAAGTGGTAACGCGCTCGCCTGGCATGCGCGGAGCACTGGGTTCGATCCTCAGCACCACATAAAATAAAGATGTTGTGTCTGCCGAAAACTGAAAAATAAATATTAAAAAAAAAAGACCAGGCAACAAAGTCTCCCACCCATGTCCCACCCTGGTGGTGGGAATGGGGTTCCCTTCAGTGGAATGGGCTAGCTGAGAAATAAAAGCTAGGAAAAATAGAACCGTAGAACATAAAAAGTAGTTTCAAAAGCAGGGGCAGGACTGGCAAGCTGACCAGACAGATCAGGCTCCTGACAAAATGGGGCCTGTGCCTGCTTTATTTATATCCAGAGACATTGAAGAGATTCTATAAAATGTTCTTTTCCAAAAAAGGTTAAAGGTGGCTGGGGTTGTGGCTCAGTGGTAGAACATTTGCCTCACATGTGTGAGACACTTGATTCAATTCTCAGCACCACATATAAATAAATGAATAAAATAAAGGTCCATCAACAGCTAGCTTAAAAAAAAAAAAGGTTAAAGGTAGGCTGTTCAGTCATTAATGGGTTATGCCATCTCTAGTGCTACTATGAGGAACCTTTCTAGCAGAGCAGAGGGGAAGGTCACATGCTTTTGGCTGTCTGTCACTGCAGGAGAGCCTCTAGAAGTTCCCAATGCCAGGCCTATCCCTCCTTGGCTTCCATGCCAAGAGAAGGTCCTCATGTATTTCATGGATGGCTTCCCGCCAAAATCTATAGTTTACAGTCTTGATTTTGTGTGTTCTTTGGGTTTGGAAAAGGTATAGACGTACCATTATTATAGTATCATATAGGATAGTTTCAGTGACCTAAAAATGTGCTATGTTCTGTCTGTTCATCTTCTCTATCCCCAGCCTGATATGGTTTTTATTTATTTTATTTTTTTGATTTATTTTTATTATTATTGATTGTTTTTTAAGACAGGGTTTGTGTTGCCCAAGCTGGTCTTGAACCCTGGGCTCAATAATCTTGCTGCCTCAGCCTTCTGAGTAGTTGGAACCATGAGCATGTGCTACCATACCTGGCTAACCACCTATCTTTTACTGTCTTCATAGTTTTGCTTTTCCTGAGTGTCATGTAATTGGAATCATACAGCATGTGGCCTCTTCAGATTGACTTCTTTCACTTAGTAATAAGCATTTAAATTTCTTCTGTTGTCTTTTCTTGGCTTGATAACTAATTTCTTTTAATGATATGTAATATTTCCTTATTTGGATATACCATAGCTTATCCATTCATCTACTAAAGACCATGTACGTTGCTTTCAAGTTTTAGCAATTATAAATAAAGCTGCTATAAATACCGGTGTGCAGGCTTGTAAAGACATTCATTGGTGTAAGTAAAGAGTGCAGTTGCTGGGCTGGGGCTGTGTAGCTCAGTGGCAGAGCGTTTCCTTAGCATGTGTGAGGCACTGAGTTCGAGCCTTAGCACCATATAAAAAAATAAATAAAGGCATGCTGTCCATCGATAAATTTTTTTTTAAGTGAAATTGCTTTGTCATAGAGTAAGACTGTTTAATTTTGTAAGAAACCACCAAACTGGGGCTGGGGATGTGGCTCAAGCGGTAGCGCGCTCACCTGGCATGCGTGCGGCCCGGGTTCGATCCTCAGCACCACATACAAACAAAGATGTTGTGTCCGCCAAGAAAACTAAAAAATAAATATTAAAATTCTCAAAAAAAAAAAAAAAAAAAAAAGAAACCACCAAACTGTCTTCCAAAGTTGGTGTACCATTTCTACTAGCAATGTCTGTATCCTTGCCCGCATTGGTGTATATTGTCAGTGTTCTGGATGTTGGCCATTCTAATAGATATATAGTGGTATTTCATTGTCTCCCTCCCTCCTTCCTTTCCTTCTTTCTCTTTCTCTTTTTCACTGAGCATTGAACCCAGGAACACTTTGCCACAGAGCTACATCCCCAGTCCTTTTTATTTTTTTTTTTTATTTTGAGACAGGATCTAAGTTGTTGGAGTCTCACTAAGTTGCTGAGGCTGCCCTCGAACTTGCAAACCTCCCTTGGCCAGTCCAGTCACTGGGATTATAAGCATGTTACCTTGTATTTTAATTCAAATTTCTCTAAAATGATGTGAAACATGTTTCCATATGCTGATCTGTCTTGTGTTTTGTTTTTGGTAAGGTGTCTCTTGCCCATTTTTTTCTTGATATTTATTTTTTAATTATAGGTGGACACAGTGTCTTTATTTTACTTTATGTGGTGCTGAGAATTGAACCCAGTGCCTCACACATGCTAGGCTCATGCTCTATCTCTGAGCCACAACCTCAGCCCTCTTTTGCTCATTTTTAAGTTGGATTGTTTATATTTTTTCCTAGTCTGTGACTTGTCTTCTCATTTTCTTTTTTTTTAATGTGGTGCTGGGTTTGAACTTGTGCATGTGGGGCAAGCACTCTACCAGTTGAGCTGTATCCCCTTGTCTTCTCATTTTCTAGGGAGCATCTTTTGCAGAAAAATTTTTATTTAAAAACAAACAAACAAAAAAACAAACTTATTTTGGTGCTGGGAATCAAACTCAGGGCCTCATTAGTGCTCGGAAAGTGTTCTACCATACCCCCCAGCCCTTCTAGGAGTTTTATAGCCTTTCCTTTTATATTTAGGTTTATGGTTCATTTTAGTTAACTTTTGTGAAGGGTGTAAAATCTAAGTAAAATTTAAACATTTTTTATTGCATGTGGATTTTTATTTGTTTCAGAACCTCTTATTACCGCGTTGTGGCATACACCTGTATTCCTAGCAATTTGGAGGCTGAGGCAGGAGAGAAGCACAAGTTTAAGGCCAACCTCAGCAACTTAGTGAAACCCTTTCTCACCCCCAAAAAGAGGGCGGTGGACTGGGAATGCATCTCAGTGGTAAAGTGTCCTTGGGTTCAATCCCCAGTACTAAAAAAAAAAAAAACAAACAAACAAACCCAGAACTCTTTGAAAAATCTCTTTGTTCTTTGTCTTATCTTTGCTCCTTTGTGAAAAGATCAATTGACTGTATTTGTGTGGTTCTGTTTCTGGGCTGTTTTTGACCATGTTGCTAA